GCCATCGAAACCCTCGGCCGGCGGGGCGAGGAAACACTCGGCTTCAGAGGGAGCTTTCTCGACGCATTAGCATCCAACACAAAAGGCACAAAATAAATAAAAGTCGTTAAATAAACAGAAATGGTTTCAAGCTTCGTGTGGAGTGTCTCTCACTGTTCGGTCACTTTTTCCAATTAAATTTGACAGACTAAGTAAATAGCACCCAACTGTTTAACTGAGGTAGATCCACATTGTAAAGAAAGCTGGGTCCCCTCCATTTTGTGTCTGACTGTAAAGATGCTTTTACAAAAACAAAAATCCACTGAACCAGATGCAGAAGCCGTGACAGGTGGCACTACCTGAAGAAAGCTTAGCACACGAGCAGGTTTGTGAGGAGATCTACTCCCAAATCACACTCTCCGTCGCCACAGAGAAACTCAGCCTGGAGGGAGCCAAACCAAACACTTCCAAACAACCCTGAAAACGCCTCTAGACTTTCACAGCAGGTCTGGCCGCGGCGGGCCCCGCCGAGCCCGGCGGGGGAGCACGCTGTCACGCGTGTGCTGGTCACCGGGACAAGACGCCCTGGGCTCTTGACTAGCCACGGCGGGGACGGGTCACCCACTCTGCCTGCTGTTGCTGCAGACGCTGAACTGACAAATTTAACATCCGATTAAGGCTTAATGTAAAGTGGCCACCAGCACCTGCCCGCTGGGCGCCTCGGGACTGGCCGGGGCGAGAAGCCTCGACTCGAGCGAGCAGGGCAGTGAGCTTGTGTGAGCTCCACAATCCACGCAGCAGAGAGGACCCACAGACAGCCCGCGGCGCACCCCAGCCTGCGGCGGACCGTGGCGAGCAGACACGCGCCCAGGCCGTGCGGGAGGGCCGGGTGGGGGCCGGACAGGCCCGCAGGCCCGCGGCCGCTCAGCTTCTTGGGAAACTGTAAACTCGGCACAGTCATAACACATTTTGATTCAAAATGTCTTCTAAAGTATTTTATCGTGGGGGAAAATTAAGAGGGGACAAGATCTATCTATGGAACTTTTGAATTCATTTTTGGTTCTTTTTCAATTATTTTATAAAAATAAAATAAAACTAGAAAATCCAGGGTTCAAAACCCCTCAATACACATTAGGTAAGTGAGCTGAAGTACCCCAGAGGTAAGGAGGATCTGGATTTAGACACTACATTCTTTTCTTGTATTTAAAGAGTGATTAGCCACTTTGCTGCACAGAAACTTACAATTATTCTCTTAAAATGTTTTAAAAAGTAAAAACTCACTCGCCTCTACAGATAGAAAATATGAATTCACACCTTCAACAACTACATCGAAACCCACTAGCAAGCGCAGGGCGGGCGCCGCCGTACGCCGGTCTGTCTGTACACTCGGGTCCCGCCTCCTGCGGCCCTGACAGGGAGCCAGGCGGCAGGCTCTGCCCCCTGCAGCCCCTGCCCACCGCCCTGGCCGAGAGGGTGTGGGCTGCAGGCAGGGGCCGGGCACAGCCACCCAGGACCGACTTCGTTTTCAAAGAAGTCACGGCGAACCCTTTCCTTTCCTCGAAACTGGCCCACCCCGACCCCTCGGAAGGGTCCGCTAACCGGCGTCCCAGCCAGGAAACAGCCGCCTCCTGGCATGCTGCCCGGGCGCTGAGCGCAGGGCGCAGGGCCTCACAGGTCCCCGCCCTCCAGGCCAGTCTGGCTCCGGACGCAGCGTTCTCGCTAAGTTTTTGCCGCGGCTCACGGTCCGCGGCTGAGAGGGGTCTGCACAGACTCCCGCTGGGGCCGGCGGGCAGAGCCAGAGCCAGCCAGCGCCCAGGGGCATCAGCGGCAGGCCAGGGACAGATGGCGCTGGCTGACTCCCCGATAAACCTGCCACCCCTGAGGCTCTGGAGGCGCCCAGTCAGAGCCGGTGTCCAGAGCACGCGCAGTCCTGTACCGATGGAGACCCCGGACTGGCCTGCAACCTCCAGAGCGGGGACGCCACCCGGCTCGCTCTGCCCAGGCCCCTCCCGAGGGGCGGGTGCACTGGGTCCAGCCACGGCTTCCAGAACCACGAAGCACAGGGTGCCTGAGGTTGGCCTCTGCCTCTCGCTCCCGGAGACGCTCTCGGGGCTACTGTTTGGTCTTTTAGTGTGAACTCTGGATTCCTAAACTCCAAAGAGGTTGCAGGCAGGAGATACATCAGCTTCCTCCAACCCCCCAGAGGGGCCTGGGGGGAGGTGACACTCAGCCCTGGTCGCGCCAGCGACGGTGCTGAAAGGCCTGACAGGCGGGTCCAGTTTTCTCACCAACCACTGAGATAGAAACGTGTGAGCTGAAGCACCAGTAACCTTCCCTCCGCTCACCCACTGGCGGCCGCGAGTGCCAGGGGGCGGGCCCCGGCCCGGGGTGCTGGGGACACGCTGCACAAGCCGCCTCAGCCCCGGGCTGCCAGGAGGCGCCACCTGGGGCCGTGCTGCGCCTCTGGGGGGCCGTGGGGGGCCGTGCTCCCTCTACATGCCCGGGCGCCGGCCAGGCGAGGGCAAGGCGGGGGTGTCTGGAAGCCAACCTTCAGGAGAGGGGCGGGCCAGGCCGCTCCTGACAGCAAAGCGGCCATCAGCCGAGGAGGGGACACGGCCCGCCCAGCACGGCCCCGCCCTTCAAGCCAGGGCCCGGCCTCGGCCAGGACATTTCGCGTTCAGACCTAAGGTCATCTTTGAGTGGGGGGAGAGGGACTCAAGGTTCCCCGCCTAAGGCCAGCACTGGACGGACGATGGTTCTGGGCACCAGGCCGCTACTTCAAAGGTGTCGCTCGCGGGAGAGCCGGCGGACAGCACGTGAGCCTCGCGGAGCGGGTCACCGGGCGGCGCG